ACCAGACTTAGTTTCTAGCACTAGACCACCTAGGTCACCAAAAGGAGGGGGGAGTGAGAAATCAGCAGAGAAACAGGAGAAAGGTTTGTTTCCAGCTTCTTAAGATAGCTCTGCCTCTCCAGATTTACAGGAGGCAAAAGTTAGAGCAGTGCTGCCTTAAGACATCTGCTCCTCTTTTTTCCCCCTTTGGTCACCCTGATTCCCCAGCACTATATTAGCACACCCGTAAATTTTTTAAAAGAAAGAAAGAAAGGCAAATGAAAGCAGACCCAGGCAACAAGCATGAGGAGAGGATTCTAATGGCAGCCAGTTTCTCTGCTGCCCTGTCACTCTCATTGATGCAGCTCAAGCGATCATCACACTGCCTGAACTGATGTGAAGGCACTTGATTCTGAAAAAAACAGAAACCACAGCGAAGGAAGAAAATACTACAATGGGGTTGGGCAGGGGGAGAGGTACACCAGGCTGATTCACATGGACTTTCATGTCATGTAGTCGATGGAAAATAATAAGAATCAGACCATTCCAATGGTACAGTGTTTCCACATTATTTGTTAATGTAGGCAACACCCTAACAGATCCCACAGAGCACATCTATTAGTCTCAATTCAGCAGTAATTTCCAGACAGGGAGGGAGGAGAGTCCTATCAAGTCTGTTGCAACAAAGGCAATAAACGACTTTGTTATCTCAGCAACACTATCGCTTATTGAGGCAACATGAGTACAGGAATGTGCAGATGCAGAAAAGAGAAGGTGGATCAAAAAGAGGGAGTTTAACCACTCCTGAAACCATTCAATCCCACTCAAAAATGTCTTTCTTTTGAGTATTTTCCCTTCAATAGGACTTATTTCCAGTACCCCCCCCTTCCTAGCGGGGGCAACATTAATCTTTAAAAAGGAAGATAATTGCGGAAGAGAATCAGATGACAAGACTTAAGGACTCCCTTCCCTCCTTTTAGTTCTCCTCATTCTGTTCTCCACACCTATGAGGAAAACACGTAATGTAGTTGAGAATACTGAAGTGTTAACAACCTTAAAATAGATTTTTTTTCCAGCTTTGATAGTATTCCTAATATTTCTTCTCAGTCCCATCTCTCTTTTTTGTCCTCCACACAGTTGTGAAGGCCATGACTCCCTCGCAATGGGCAACTGCATCTGCAACCTCATTGTTCCACTTCCATCAGAGAGATTTTTGTTTCAGCTTTTACTTCAGAAATTCAAGTATCATATTTCTGTACTTGTAAACCAGCAAGTATTTCAGGAAAGCAGGGACATTTAATTTTCCTGATTGGAAATCAAGACAAACAGGTTAAGAATTTGACCAGGTATTTTTAAATACTAACACAGCAGACAAAATGATCTTCATGAGGCAAACGTCCTCAATCAACACTAAAAAGGTATAAAAAAATCTGATTGTTATTCAGCACTAGTCAAGAAAAGAGAAAAAATCCCTTCACACATAGTCTGTGCTGTAACCTAAAACATACATAGTTTCAGTGACACATCACAGACACGGTAAAGACATTTTGCTAGGTGAGGCAAATTACAAGAGAGAAAGAAATCCCAAACAGAGTCTCAGATGTTATTGGATTAAAGGGTGCAGAAGCCCTGCCTGCTGGCTATGCCAGCTGGACTTCTAGGAATGGTAGTCCAAGAACATCTGAGACCCCAAGTTCGGGAACCACTGGCATAGAGTATCTGAGTGAGGTTCAGGTTGTCTGAACAAACAGAGAGCCCCCCATGGTTAGAAACTACTTTCATCTTCCAGGTTAGCTCTCCATGTACCAGAGCTCGGACAGATGAGGGCAGGAAAAGCCTTTTCCTTCCACTCATAGGTTAAGATGACCCCTGTTAGTCAACACCTTGATTGGGCACTCACTGACCTTCTAACAGAGGACCATAGCAAGGGTTCTGTCACTGTTGACTCTTAACAACCACAGCTGCCCCCTAAGAGGACTGGTACACTCTGCCTAATAGTAGGGTTGGCTTTCTGTAATAACAAGTATGTTGAGGCCCTATGAACAAATCTTTGCTTGGGTGGACTGTCCCCTGTGATTTTTTATTTAGCAAAGGATACTTCAAAGAATTTAGAGATTTCTTATTCCAATATATTGTGCTGAATCTACAATAGCCTTTGTCTGCATGAAGAAGAGCCTCCTTGTTTATCTCACAAACACTATCTCTCTGTCTCAGCCGTCTGACATTCGCAGCGTATATTGTACTTCTTCTGAATTCAGAGTTAATTCATGTGCTCTTGTTGGCCCGAAAAGTAGACTATTAAACAAAGGATCACCTATTTCAGGAGTAAGAGAGAGAGAGAGAGAGAGATTGGAACCACGATGGCCTAATTATATGGGGCAGGTTGAGAATAACCTCAAGAAAAGTGATCTTGTCAGTCAGCACGCAGGCCTGCCAGCCAAAGAAAAAAATTAACCTAATTCGTGGTGGTTTCCCATATTAGAACCAAAGATCTTCACATGGCAATGAAGAACAGAAGCCCCGCAAATGAAATAAAGCAATTGTTTTAATTAATTTAAGGCAATCTAATAACTTCTAACCCAATGAACACCAAATGCAATTAATATAGTGATTTACTTACTAATAACTTCTAATCCAATGAACACCAAACGCAATTAATATAGTGATTTACTAAGTTTAACACTCACCCACAACAGCTACCAGCTTTAATAATTTTAGTTGATCTGTTTTGTTTGAGCTGCAAGAAGCAATAAAGGTACGGAAAGAATCTGAGCCACAGCCAGGAAAAGGAGAAGAGAAGCTGATCACAGTAACAAAAGCAGGATCTGCAAGGAATCTTTTCTTTCAAATTCCCTGGCTGCAATAGGAAATTGGTACTACTGCATAGAAGTATCCAGGAAGAGAGTATGGTAGGCCCAGAATGCAATTCATATGTGAGAGAACAGGAGACAGGGAGAGAACATCAAAGCCTCATCTACAGAAGTGTTGGGGGAGTGAAAAGGAATCAGAAACAGAAAAAAAAAATAGCTAAAAGGATAGTGAGCTGAAGTTTTCCCCCTAAACTTTACATGC